ATGTTAAGCGCAAGGTTGCAAAGTGACACCAGGAGTGCAATAATGTCTTGCACAGGGAGATGCTGAGCCTCCACCAGGTTCTTGACCTGGGCGAAGAAAACCTCGTAAAGCTGTACGGTATCTGTAATTGACCCTTGACCGTTCACAGCGGTGGTTTCCGTATCTGCTACTGAAGGTGTAGACTCGGCGAGTGTGCTAGAGTCGTCGTTGCTGCTCTCACCAGCAGTTTCCTCTGGAGTCTCATCGGTGGCCTTGGCTGTAGACTCCTCGCCCTCGGGTGTACTATCAGCATCTTCAGTAGACTCACCCGCTTTACCATCAGGTTCAGATTGCTTAGACTCTGAAGGTGTGGCTTTCGATGCTTCTTTTTGAAGGTTTATCTTCTCCAACAGTTTTGCCAGCGCATCCGCCTCAATTTGAGCTCTATCGTCCGACTTGTCCTCCGGTCCATCGCGTTCAGCATACTCGGACAATCGATCCATCAGACCAATTACAATGGCCTTGACGTTGACATGAGGATTGAGGCGTGAAACGGCACCAAGGAATTGGTCCAAGGTGTGCAGGTGAAATTCGTCCGGGAAAACTTGCGTAATCACCTCAAGGAGATACTCTTGGGCGAGAACGTCCCGGCACTGAACCACCTGCTCTAGCAGCGGTGCTAGAATACTAGACTTATACGTTTCAAGATCAACAAGCTGACTTAGGCGTACGATATTGCTGCCGACCAGTAGCTGCAGTTCCTTTCTCTCTCGAATTCGCTGCTCGCGCTCTCTCGAGTGACCTTGGTGTTGTAAACGAACCCATAGTTTGTTCATCTCGACAAAATTTGTAAGTACGAAGTTGATGGAATCGCTAATGTTGCCTTCTGGACCATCACTCTCAGTAGTTGGCAGGTAGTCCCTCGCTTGACCAGACAGGTAATATCGGAGGAAGAGTCCACGAATAGGATGCTGAACACCTCGGCTCATGTCCATCATGTCCTTCATGAGCTCCTTGACAGGCGCATCTTCGATGGCCATGTAGGCGGTTCCCACAGTAATCATAAGATACAATCGTGGAACGATGTTGCCTGCATACTGGACGAGCTCGTAAAGGTCGGCCAGGTGGTTGACAGGGTGGTTTTCGCGGAGATGGACAGACAAGTATCGCAGGGCGTCGAACACTGACATGTATAGCTCGTAGTATTGCTTGGGTCCAAGACTGCTTGTACGAAGCTCGGAAACCAGAGTCGAGCTACCAGAGTCAGCGATGCCATTCAGGGGACCGGGCTATCTATCGCGGCAATTATATACATACCAGCACTTGAGCGCATCCATTAGCTTTCCAGGAGTATCGAGACATTTGCGCATAAGGGACGTCTGCTGTCGCACGGCAACAAGAGCATCTTCAAGCAGACGAGCCTGGTCCTCGGGGGGAGCTGGCGTGGCCATCTTGTCAGGTTATGACGGCGGGGTAGCTCGGAGAAGGTCAAGACAAGCCAAACCCCCAGCAATTCACTGAAATGCGACTGTGATAGACGCAATGGTGAAGGAGATGGCAGCAGGAGACGGAGGTTGCGCGGAGCTGTCGGATTGTCGTCGATAGGTTGCGCCGCATACAAGGCGCAGAACAAACGAGAGCGATGACGATACGGGGGAGGCTGAGATAATGGATTGGATGGGTTGAGGTGGGCCTAAGCTCCGCTGGGAGACAGCGGATAATGGCGCTGTACCAATTTGGCTTTAGGCGACAGGGGCTTTTCTAGGTCCGTCCCAGCCACCGCAGCGGACTCAGTTCTGGAAAAGGAAGATACCTTACACAACGAAGGGACTCATCACGTGGTGTCAGGGAGTAAGTCGTTCCTGCGTCTAAGATTGTGGATGAGATATACCTATCCATGACTGAAGATGTTCAATTCTATCAATTCACGTATCATGACCCAATTGGTTTACTATTATCGTTCAATATTCTTCATGTTCCATCAACGGATTGTCCAAAGCACCAATGTCAATCATGTTTTAGTTATGGTTAAATAAACTTCAATAACTCCCAGTGCAACATGATACTCACTCAATTGCGCCAGCTCTTCAACGCCTTACTTGGGCTCCTCAAACGCATCTTTCAATTTTCCAAATTCGTCAGACATCCATTTCTCTCGCATTTCCTGGACCGGCCGAATACTCCAACACCACAATACTGTGGTTGTCCAACTCTCGCAGGAATACCCAGATCATCGCGAAGAAAGTCCACCAACGACGTGTCAATCGAAGACGAAAATGCGGCAAGGACCAGCATCATGTTCGATTCGGGATGAGGCAGGTTGTGAATATCAGCAATGATGACGACTTCCTTGATCGTTTTTATCGTCGCAAGTTCCCGCGCCCATCCCAAGCTTTCATGACGAGTTGTATATAACAGCCGAAAGTCAGATACCGTCAAGCTCTGCGGGCCGTCCCATGGCCCTTGTGGCCGAGCGCCCTCAATGACAAGTGTCAACTTATCCAAGCTTTGCAAACTTCGCAGCGAACGACACACAGAAGACCAGCAATACGAATCCGGTTCCATCACATTTGTTGGACTGCGCTTGTAGAGGCTGATCTCCCGGACTAAGTCTCTAGTGCGTGGCGTCTTATCAGTGAGGAAGGGCACCAAGGCCTCAAGGTCTTCCCCAAAATGAAAAGCATGCTTTGTGTACAGGTAATGAGAGGCTTCCTCTCGGATTTTCCTGTTGATCTGCATGACTGCAGTGTGCATCGATCGGCGAGGATGAGGGTCGGCGCAATATGTCGTCTTATATGATTTCTTTGCGATAGTTCGCTCCATTATATGATACGCTGAACGTTGGGTCTTCGAACGGCGCGCCTCGTATTCACGCTTCGACTGATTTCGAATTGAGATATCTTTGGTCCCGCCGTTGTCGAGAAGATAGACGTATATCAGCATGCGAATCTCGGGCGGGATTCGCAAGAGCATAGGTTCTTCTGCCATGATGGTTGAGTTGCGTAGCAATGCCTGAAAGAAGGCGGAAGGTGTCGAAGTGATTTGCAATGCCTTTCAACTGAGGAATTGTTTTTGAACGCCGATGACTCGGTGATGTCAGTCTTGGTGATTGGACTGGTCGATGGTGTTGACGAGTCACTAACACGGTGACGGACAATGACGGATAACGCGAGGGATCTCACGTCAGAAGCCGCTTCTTGCAATGCCGACAAAGATAACAAAGACAAGACGATGCTATCGTCCAACGGCAGTGCGACAACCTACCTTATTTATGTCTACAAACTGATCAGCAAATCGAAGGGGTCCGTCCATCAAGGTTCCCACCCTCCGGACTTTGACGACCCAACCTTGGGGCCAAGGTCGGCTTTGCCAAACCAATAAGTACAATTTCTAGCCATTGAGCCAAATCTCAACACAGATTCGAAGCGACTCAAGCCCGGTCACCTTGCCGTCGGTGTGCCAGACTTCCCCGTCCTTGCTCTCCGACCACCTTGTTTTCGTGGGGTAGTTCTAGATAAGGCAATCTACTGTGTAGGACAATGTGCCCCCCAAGCATACTCATTGGTTCAGCCGCTAGCTGAAGCTCAACTTCTTCAGCTTCTTGTACTAGATGCTACCAATATCGAAGCTGTTGACGATTCTTGTATAGAATTGTAGAGATTCAGCCATCCACTAACATAGAGTGTGGAGTGTAAGACTCTTCAAACAAGAGAAGGGTCCGTTGTCTTGCGGACTGTGACCCTAGAGATCGCATCGACCCCCACCACTAGCAGACACACATCGCGGACCCAGAACTGCGAATGACGAGATTGAACTAAAGCAGCATTTTCCCAACCATTTACAAGCTGAATCGCGTGCAAATGCAAGTCCAACAAAGGGACTGGTTCCAAGATTATCAGTACTTTACCGCCTTGTTGACGCACGCGATCCAGCGCTGTACCTAAGACACGTTTCTTTGTCATTGAGTTCAGCTAGTCAGAAGATTGTCCATAAAGAACGGCAATGATCTCATAGCCACTGGACTATCAACCTCTTTGTGGTCATTGGACTCCAATGAGAACGGCGATGTCATATTTCCCGAACATAATTCGCTCGAGAATATCGGCCGGGGAGCCGCTAGACGTGCTTGTGCAGTTCTGCAGTTCTTTGGAATACGTGGTTCCGGACATAGAATCATGCACTGGACTACCAGTCTCTCATGCCGTTCTCTATTCTAGAGGCAACTACCTGACCGTCTTCCGTCGATGTTGCACCGCGAGACGATAACTTGTACCGAGTCATGCAAGTTAGGCTAAGGATGTCGGTAAACGTGCTTCTTGTTGCGATGACGGGCCATGGACTTGGCGATGTCGAAGACTGAAAATCCAACTTCTCAACAACGTTTTTGCTCTATAAGTTCAAACAAATTACCTAGGATACAATGGCCGCAAGTGTATAGGTGAGGCAGGCTTTTGGCCACCAGCGATGGCGATGAGGCACTGATAATGATCCATGTTTCTAGTGTCAAAGGACCATGCCAAGCACGGCTCTCACAAACCGAAAAAGCCCTCTTGTTGGGGAGGACCATCCCATGCGACACTATTATAGCGCCATCTACTGTACATTCAAGGTAATGATGAGGGTGCACATCCGTCAACACCTTCGGAAAGCCTTGGAGGTTACCGACTTATCGGACTTTGGGGTCCTTGGGTCATCTCAAGGGCTCATTGTCAATTAGAGCTGAAAGTGAGACGACGCTTGCGAGTTGCTGAGATGTTTCTTCAGAATCTCAGTTGAACTAATGAACATGTCAAGGTATAAATCGTTTTTTTCTTCTAGAAGCTCACATAGAAGCTCTAGGATTGCGATCCTTGCTAGCGTTACATGTCTTTGTGGTCCGCTGAAACACCACATATGCACTGCTGACATCTGAATAAGCAAACTTGTTGTTTTACACACAATCTGTCTCTTGAAGCCATACAGTGCCCTTCTCCTCAGCCTTATCTGGGCCTTTCGTGTTCAAGGGGTCAATCGTTTGAAAGATGGTGAACCAGTTCACTTTCCGTGATGCTTCTGCATCATGTAATGATGCTCAATTCATTGCTGATGCAATGGACTCGACTATACCCCACCTTGTTGCGGCGGGAAACGCTGGCCAATGGGGAACTGAGCCTCTTTCTACAAAGGAGTCGTTCATGCAGAAGATGCATGAGGCTGTTTCGAAGTCGGACCAGTTCTGTAAAACGGGGACTGGTGATCGAGAGAGAATATTTATCGCCGAGGTTGAGGATGATCATGCCGACTCAGATTCCACTGCAAATGGACACCTCCCCCATCGTATGGACGAGAATGGAAAATCCTTTGTGTCCGTTGGCTTCGCCAAGATTGTTGAAGAACAGTTCGTGAGCTATCTGAAAGAGACAGAGGGTTTGAAAGCCCAGGTCGAGCCTGCGCTGGAAAAGGGCAAGTTTGTCTTCCTCCAATATCTTGTCACTGATCACCGAGTTGGTGATAGACGCCGCGGGGCTGGGGCAGCTCTTCTTCAGAAAGTCAAGGATTATACTCTTGAGCGTGGTTGGAAGACGATCTGGCTTGATTGCTGGGATGGAGGTAATGGGCAGTTGGTACAGTATGTCCCCAGAAGGACACCCTCGACTCGGTTCATTTTTAATGGTTACAGATACTACTTTGAACAGGGATTTAATATCATGGGGAGCTTTAGGGATGATGATGATGATGGATCGTCATGGAATGGCAAACTCTTCCGTATGGACTTGCCCTAGAGACTGCTACCGAAGCAACCGTCATGTAGTCAACACTGCTGCCTCTGTGTACATTCACTTCTCCAGAGGAGCTGTATCAGCGAAGCAGCCAAAGAAGGGGTCCCGCCCTCCAACAACTCCAGCCTCAACTGCCAATTTCCTCAAGTCTTGATTCTCCTCCTTACTCAGCGTCACCTTTGCTGCTCCCACGTTCTCTTCGAGATACTTGATGTTCTTGGTGCCAGGAATGACAAACATGTTGGGGCTCTGCTCCAAGATCCAGGCCAGGACGAGCTGTGAGGATGTAAATCCCTTGTTCTTGGCTAACTCATTGAACTGGTCCACAATCTTCAAGTTCTTCTTGAAGTTGTCACCCTGGAACCGCGTCAAGTTTCTTCGGGTATCTGCCTCTTCGAAATCATCGATAGAGCGGAAACGGCCGGCCAAGATACCACGGCCAAGGGGTGAGTAGGCAAACACCGCCACGTCTAGCTCTTCGCAAGCCTTGAGAAGGTTTGTTCCTGAAGGACCTTCAATGTCGAGTGTCCAGGGGTTGTACTCGACTTGTACTGCTGAGATGGGATGGATGGCGTTGGCTCGGCGGAGAGTGGTAGACGAGATCTCTGAGAGGCCCAGGTACTTAACCTTTCCTTCACTATATGCGTGTGAGTCCTGCTTAGCTTGTTTCATGGTGGAATGACTTACTTAACCAATTGCTTCATGGCTTCCACAGTCTTCTCAATAGGCACATCCTCGTTTGCGCGATGCATGTAGTACAGATCAATGTGATCAACACCAAGCCTCTTTAAGCTGCTCACGATACTCCTCCTCACATGCTCAGGCGATGAATCAGTAGCGATCCCTGTCTCACCTGCGCGCAACCCAAATTTGGTCGCAAGGAAGATATCCTGACGACGTTCGGGGTGAAGCTTGAACCATTTGCCTACGACATCTTCACTGTCACCGTAGATGTCAGCTGTGTCCCAATTGGTACAGCCGAGTTCCCATGCACGGTCGAGGAGCTTGAGACGTTCTTCATCAGATCTGGGGATATTAGTGAGAGTCAGAAGTTGGACATGTGATTCATACGTGGCCGCGCCGTATCCAACGCTGATTCCCATAAGACCAAGGCCAATAGATGGGATCTTGGGGCCGTTCTTGGTGACCTGTCGAAGAGGGAGTTGGGCTGGAGGAGTCATGATGTAGTTCTTAGAAATGGAGTTTGGGCAGTTGGAGGAGATATTGGCTGGATGCAAGTGGCCTGGTTTAACAAGGAGATATATTCACAAATACAGAGAAACTCTCTTGCTTTTATACATGTCCAACGCCTCCTCATCATTGTATTGGCCGACCTATCCCAGTCCAGGTTACGACATGATTTTCTGTGTCCTTCTTGATGTTCGTTACATCAGTGTATGGAACGGGGTTAGCTTTGCGCGGACATCTTGTTATCCCCCACACTTGCGGCCGAAAGACTGCTTGTCTCCGAAACTTTAAAGCATCTTGCATGAATGACTAAGACAGCTTCGGTCTCGGGCAATATCTTGTTCACCGTGAGATCCGTGTCAGTACAAGTAAGCCAATCAATAAAAACCAATTCAAAGGGAACGAAGAATCTTGAATTGAAATCCAGGTATTAAAGCCCACAAAAACGCTATATTACACTAGTCCCTCTATTTTGTCTTACGCCTCGCCTTGAATGTCTTGAGCGGATCTCGCTTCCTTGAGCCAACCTTGAATCCGCGACCTTTCTTACCCTTATGGCCCTTGCGATCTTTCCTGAGTCCCACAAAGCCAATGTCGTTTGTCAAAGCCTGTTTGCCATCTTTGGGTAGGAGATACTCTGGAATATGCTTCAGGTGAGCTTGTTGTCTAGCAGTTCGAAGTTCTCCGTCGTGGCGAAGATGGGCGAGTTCCGTAGGGTTCTCCTCGAAATATCTGAACGATTGTTAGTACAGTCTGAAAATGATGCGTCATTGTGTATGTGCTTACCGCTTCAGCTTCTCGCTCTTCAACAGCTCCTGTCGCAACTCTCTTGTTCGGGCCTCTCGGATAGAAACCTTGGTAACCGCACGTAGAGCATCGTTCATTCGGTACCGGAAAGGGTCCACTTGCTTCATATTGAAGTTGTAAGGTTTCACCTCTTTTCCTCGCTTGGCTTGCTGCCTGATGATCTTGGTCATCACTTTCTCGTCATTCTCTGAAGTTGGTGTGGAAGTGGGCATGTGCTTTCGGTATAGATCCTTGGGGACGACAAATGACAGAGCCATGCCGGTCTGCCCAGCTCGCGCTGTGCGTCCTATTCTATGTGTGTAGGCTGATGCTGTTGTTGGGAGATCGAAGTTGATGACTGCAGAAACCTTCTTGAAATCGACACCTATAAGTATTGTCAGTGCAAGTCCTGTGCTGGGGTAACTCTATGCCATATAAATGACAGCGCTTGGCAAGCATACCTCTTGATACACCGTACTCCTTATCAGCGCCCTTGGACTTCTTGACCTTCTTCTTTGGTCGCTTTGCTTCCATCTCCGCATCATCTCCGTCAGCCTGCTTCTCGGCATCCTCAGTCTCGCCTTCAATAGGTTCCTCATCATCTCCCATCATCTCATTCTTCTCATCGGCGGCAATGATGATATCGTAAACGTGTTTGTTGAACTCCTCAACAACATGAACTCGTGAGTTCAGGGGAAGTTCGGAGTTCAAAATACAACTTCGAATGCCGAACTGCTCAAAAAAGAGCTTCAGACGGTAACATCGGTCAATGTCGCTCACAAAGATAATACACTTGCCCTTGATCAACTTAAGCTTAAAGATGACATAGGCGAGAAGGAACTTTTCATCTTCACCACACCTAGTATTATGTTAGCAACTGGCCTCTTATATCTGAAGATCAGTAGAACGTACTTGGCCACAAATTGGGTGATACCCTCGCCTTCAGCCTCCTTCTCCTTGAGATCCAACAATGTCGGGTCGCGTCGGAAAATCCCCTTGAGTGTCTGGACCTCGTCTGTAAGAGTAGCGCTCATCATCATGACCTGAACACCTTTGGGAACTGATCGTGACAAGTTCTCCAGATCCTCACTGTAACCGTAGGAAAGAACAAGATCGGCTTCGTCCAGGATAAGGTGTGTGAGTTTGTCGATTGATAATGCTGAAGAGTTGACATTATGCCAGGCAGTCGCAGGGGTCGAGATAACGATGTCGGGCGAGTTTGAGAGAAGGGCGCGCTGCACGGCATTGGCAACCTTGTCGGTCAACTTGACTGTGCTGATATCCTTTGCGCAGAAGGAAGCAAACTGTTCGATGGCCTTGAAGACCTGGTCGGCAAGCTCGCGGGTAGGGACGAGGATGAGGGCGGTTGTGAAAGCTGTAGAGTCGGTCTAGGCATATGGCTGTTAGCAAAATCTTCAAGAATCTGATATCTCGAGAATCGGGGTGGCATACAGCTTTGCGCTTCAAAATGCTAGAGAGCAAAGGCAGAACATAAGCTGCCGTCTTTCCAGAGCCACAGTCGGCCTTGGCCAAGACATCTTGTCCATTGAGAGCCAAAGGTATCGCCTTCCTCTGAACTAGCGTCGGCTTTGCAAACTTCTGCTGAGCGATAGCTTGTAGCAGTCTAGGATCAAGACCGAGGTCGACGAAGGAAGTCTCATCCTCTTGTTTTTGCGCAGGCTTCGTAGGCTTTTCAACTTCGGTAGCAGCAGGCTTTTCGTCAGAGATGACTTCTTCTGTTTGATCGCGCTTTCGTTTCGATAAGGACCCCATTGTGTAAGTCGGTTGTTGTGTGGCGTTGATGTTGGTTGCTGTTGGTGAATGTCGAAGAAAGATGGCGATTTCTCAACTGCCCAGAGATAATCTTTCGCTGCTGGGTACTTTTCCTCCAAATTTCCAGCGGGTTGAGGGGCAGCTACTTGGCGGACGATTATTTGATTGGCTGGTTGATATTTGAGCTAGCGCTTTTCGGCTTAGCCTGAGAAGTTGAAGAAAATCGTTCAGAGTTCGAACTTTTTTTCTTCTTATCGTGCTTATCAATACCTGCACCTCGAAACTTTGTCTAACCTTGTTCGGCTGAGAATAGCTTCACGTTGCCGTTTTATTCATGCTCCTCTAGGTATTGCGAAATACAACCTGGAGGCACATGACTCCAAAGCTCTAATAACTGGTGCCTTGATGTCTCCTGTTCTACCACAAGTACTTGAGAAGGCACCAGTGACTCAGGCAGAGACAAGTAACAAATTCAGCCAGCATCGTTACACCCCGAAGTCAACTTCGCTACAATCACATAACAGAAAGAGAAGAGTCAGGCTCGATCATCAATAAGAAGTATATTTATCATTCGCTCAGTTCATTATATCCCATGTCCCAAAATCCCAGGCTAACATATTCCCAAAGAAAACATCATCTATCCCATTTTTATCGGGTTTTTTTCATTTTGCTTTTACTTTCATTCCCTCTTTACCACTTGATGACAGGGTTGGGGAAGTACTCGCTAATGAGCTCCATGTAGTAAGGCTTGAGCTTCTCGGCATCGGGCACACCGTCGCTCTTGGAGTACAGGTCATAGGGGTTGAAGGCGTTGACAGCCTTGAGCATCTCATGATCCTTGTCGCACATGAGGTGGCGGTAAGCTCCCTCACGGTGCCAGGGGTAGAAGGAGTGGTAGCGGATCATGGCGAGAGCCTCGTCAGGGAGAGTGGACTGGTCCTTGACGACATGGTAGAGGTACTCGTCGTGGCCCCATGAGAGCATGATGTTGTCGAGACCACAGTTGGGAGAGTAGATACCGTACTTGGTGTTGAAGTCGGGGTTGGAAGCATCGGGGTTACCCTCGACAAAAGTCTCGGGGTAGATGATCTTGTCGGAGAAAGCACAGCCAACGGGGAATGTGTCACCGACAACGTCCCACTGACCCTGAGTCTCGAGCTCGGGGAAGAAGAGCATAAGCTTGCCAAGGTCGTGGATGAGACCGGTCAACTGCATCCATCGAGGCTTGCCATCGCGGCGAATAGCCTCAGCAGACTGAAGAAGATGCTGGATCTGAGAGAGGGAAGTATCAGGGTCAGACTCATCAACAAGAGTGTTGAGCTTCTCCATGGCCTCCCAAATGGTCATCTCGGCACGAGGACGAGAGGAGTTGTAGAAGCGGTTGCGGGCAGCGAGGTTGTAGGCTACGGTCTGCTTGTGGTGCTGCTCACGGTAGAAGTTCTTGACGCGGTCGGTGGCATCGGCGTATTGGCGGAAGGTGTTCTTGTCCTTCTCCTTGTCGAACTTGGATGTCTCGTCGTACTTGATCACGTTGACATCGTCGATCTTGTCAGAGAGAACCTCGAGGGCTTGGCCATCGTGGCTCGAGAAGTCGTCAATGACAGCACTGGGGGCCATTGTGAATGTGATGTGATGGAGGTAGTGTAAGGTAAGGTAAGTTAGAGAGAAGAGTATTGTATTGTTCTTGAAGATTCAGTTGTAGTTGAGAGTTTGTGAGAATGATGATGAGCTTGGAGAATAGAATGCCAAAAGACGTGAGAAGGATGGTCTTATGTAGTAGTTGATGTCAAAACTATCCCTCCTCACAAGTCAACCTCATATCGAGAAGTTTTCGCTTTGCCCGCCATCAAGGGATCCTTTCCCCTTCTTTTTCCCCGCATAATCAAAGTTGAAGTCGGGTACATGACCAATCTGCGTCATCTGAGTGGGTGTTTTTGCTCTACAATTCTCGTCAAGTTTTCGAGACTTGGTCGAGATCTGGAGAATGGTGGAACTCGACGGGCAGAGTTTCTAAGTCGAGAACGACATATCGGGTTAGATCCGCCGGGTAGACGCCACTGAGAACCCTGACTTCTCAAATTCTCTATCGTTCATGGTTAGATCCGCCGGCTGTAGCTACTTTCGGCTGTCGACGAGACACCAAGGAATGGCATCACGGCGGACGCAGTGGAGATGTTGTCGACTTTTACCTCAAAATGCCACGTTAATTCCTCTTGCTAATTTCTTTCTACGTCACGCGGGGGATTGACCGGGAAGCTTGCCGGATCTCAAGACCCTTCGTAAACTCGGAGATTCTTGTTCAAAATGTTCTAGACGCAGCTATCGCTTAGATCTCTGGGGCTTCATCTTGCGTGGTAACATGGGGATTATTGCTGGACCCTGAATTAGATAGATACGACAAGGTAGGCTCATGTGATCAATAATCGGCAGATCTAGCAGTCGAGGTAGAGCAAGACAGGGCCTCAATCTCTAATTACCTTAATTTGGTCTCTGATAATAGAAGCGAAGGCTGCTTCAATGTCAACTGTTAACACGTGCAATACATCCAATATCCAACACATATCAGCATTATACATAGGATTATACTACTAATGTAGTTGATGGTGCTTCACCCACAACTTCCCCATACGTGCGTCTTGATATAGGTATGTAGATTCATTCATCTTCGAGAGAGGGCAAGCTGAGCCGGCCCATATTCAAATGTTCCCAAAATCGCTAAATTTCCCCGCGGCTCAACTCATATTGTCCCAGGCATGGAGGCCAAACCGGAATCTGGCTACTGCTTCCTCGCCCTCGTGGTAATTTTGTCCGAGTAGGTTAAGAATTTAAGCGTCATTCAGAATTTCAGCGCATGCATGGTTACGAGATCTTGGATTCGGCGCTAAAAAAAATTACTGGTCCCTGAGTTTATTTGGTTAGTCCCGGAGAGCTCGATTCTGATGAATTGCCTTTTTAAGTAAGACTCCCCGATCATTGGGTCATTGTGCAGCTGCGACGAATCGTTGATTATCAGCCTTAGAATTATTTCTTCCCATCTTGTCAGCTAACCCAAACATTGGATGGCCAACATCTTGATGAAATTCTGATCAATATCATACCATTTCGCAGAATCAATCCGAAACCTTTATCCTCTTAGTTATCTGCCATGAGACTCTGACGACGTAGGTCAAAGTCTTTAGTATCGGGTTTGCGGTAGAATAAGAGAAGTATCTTACGTTCTTAATACAGCTTCACCTCTTTAATCGCCCAACCGATCACTTATATCACGTGAAATTCACGCTTTCACTTTAAATCTTTGATGACCAAACCTCTCTTTTTCGACATTAACTTCCAGGTGTCGTTCTAGCAAAATCCTCAGGCTATCTGGTATCGGCGGTGGCTTAACCCACACCATTCTGTTTAACAAGTCCCAATATCATATTGTCAGCAATGCCTACGGCATTTTCTACTAGCTCACCATGAGGACCCTATTCTGCAAAGAGTTGAATTATATATATCTTGTAGTATAAGTCGTTTATATCATACATATATAAGGAAATATGGCATGCCCAATGGATTTATACCAATCACCAAAGTGTAAGGATTGCTTGACATGTGAGGAATTCTGTCGAATTATCAAAGTAACATGCTCGTTATATATCCCTACTCGAACGAGAAAAAATATCATTCAGATGGTGAATGCCTTTGGCCAAATCTCATGACCTGTATTCATAGAACGCGCAGACAATTCTAAGCCGGTCGTGGAGACTGGCATTGAAAGACCTGCTCAAGATCCACATAACTAACGCTCACACATACCATTGCTTGACATAGAGGCTAGAGTATTTACGACAGGTACTTGAGTCAGGTCTGAAGTCGTATAAGGACAAGGCTGATGAATAGAGTTTCCATATATAGGCCTGGGAATACATGGTCTATCCACAAGGCTTGAACATACACGTCCTTGTGCTCTGGGACTACTAGGTACAACTACGGATAACAATAAGATTGTAGTTACCCTGTAGATAAACTTGGTACAACGGGTTATCGTCATCACGCAAAAGGAATCTTGAATCTTAACTTCTGTAATTAAATCTTGGGTGAGATCGAGCCTTGCAATAAGCCGCACAGTCCTTACAGAGAGAGAAAATAAAGAACAAACAATATAAAAGTCAAACTGCAGACCGAATAGGCTATTGAAAACATTGCTGTCTAAGAACAAGGCATGAAAGTGAAGCCGAGGAGGACACTTGAGAAGAGTTGAAAACAAACAACACCCAGCAAAAATTCAAATAAAACTATATATATTTTAAAACTTCAAATACTATATAGTAGAGCCTCATTAGAAGTGATAGACATCAAGCCCTTCTGGAAATTGAGTTAATGGCCTTGTAGGTTGAGGCGCTGGCTCAGTCCTACCTTGCCAGATCACCATGTCCCCAAACAATGTCAAAGCTCAGTAAGATCCGGGGTATTTGGAATCAGTCGCAGTAAAATATTCGCGGAAAACTGGTGACTGTGTACTCATCCCTTGAAATTGGCCTGATAACTAAATAATATCAATGAGTGACTGGAGTGACTGCCAAGAACTTCAACTTTCAAGAATGTGGGCATGCCTCGACTCCCCAACTTCTCAAGGAGAACTTCTAAGCCCTCAGTAGCCGAAAGAGAATTAAAACCGGGGATTAAAACTGTCTGATACCCTCCTCGGCATCTTACCACGTCTTGTTCCTTGCCAGAAACCACAGACGTTGGTGCTGCCCAACACATCCTTCTGCATATGACTCAGATATTGGCTCGCCCCGATATACCTTAGTCATGCAAGAAAACGATCAAGATGTTTGATGTGCAGCATGGATCAAGTCTATCACCATCATAGGCCGTGTCTTCCAACCGGGAAGCAAGATGATGGCCACAGATATCCTTGTCTACAACATAAGCGTTGTTGGCGGGATGTCAAAGCGGAACGTAACCCACAACGCATGAAACATGGCTGTCTTCACCAAAGCCTCGTTTTGACG